TGGTCTCTTCAGTTTAGAGACCATTTCTTTTGATGAACAGAAGCTTCTTAGTTTTATGAGGTCCCATTTATCTATGCTATCTCTTAGTTGCTGTGCTACTGGGGTTTCGTTGAGAAAGTTCTTACCTATACCTACTAACTCCAGAGTATTTCCTACTCTTTTTTAAGGAGGTTCTAAAATCAGAGACATCCTGCATTTCCTAGAACATCCTAGCAAATTCTTTTGTAAATCAAGAAGTGCATATCACCAAGATTTCCATATTAGAACAAGCTTCAACAAAACTGAAAGCATAATTTCCATGGTGTGAGCAAAACAACACTATCCAAATGCCCAAGAAAAATATTCTGCTCCAGGATCACATGTGTATAGACTCTTGAGGAGCTGTGTTTATCATAGATTTTGACACTTGTTTTTGAAAATTTAACAGATAATACTAGATACTACATAATAATTTCAGGTACTAGTAATTATTGAAAACAACCTTTAAAAGTAGGTGCCTTTATGAGACACCTAGTCTGACCGAATTGTAGAGCTGGGATTGCAGTTTAGATCTTTCTCACTTCCACAAGAACAGCTCTATGTTCTGTACACACTGCCTTATCTGTCCTGTTGCTAAGAATAGAAGTATTATCTGAACTCTTCAGGAAATAACACTGGTATTTGGTGTATCCCTATTTTGGTTTTTTTGAGGCGTTTTTGGAAACTCAAAATTTTACTCTTTCTATAAACTGAGTCTAAATGATAATCAGTTAATAGGAATATTCATGTGCTATATACTTCAATTCTGGTAGGAACAAACATGGTTTAACAGGTTTGGTTTGGTTTTGTTGTGTTTTGGGTTTTTTGAGATAGGGTCTTGCTATTTAGCCCAGGCTGGCCTCAAATTCGGGACCCTCAGGCCTCAACTTCTCAAGTGCCAGGGTAACAGGCCACCATGAATAATGTTTTTAAATGTTTCCCTTGATTTCTACCTTTTCTGCATAAGCAGCCTCCCTTCTCTTTCCATCCTCCTATATCTTTGTGTTCAGTCACTAGATGACCAATAGGCTCCTAAATTACACAGACATCCCATCTCTAAAAAAAGCTATTTTATTTAATGAGCCAAGTAAACGTTTACTGTAAGGGGAACTGGAAATTTTTCAGGGTAAAAGGATAGCAAATGATTTCATCTTGTTTTGTTGAGTTGTTAATAAAGCCATGTTGGGAGTATGACTTGCTTTGTTCAAACTGTTATTCATACAAAGAGTTCTTCCATGCCAGGCACTCTTACACTGAGGCAGCGCACTGTAGTTTAGTCACTGTTTATGTTTCTGATGTTCAACACGAAAATAAATAATAGTCTCTATTTCACATGCCAGGTAAATATTAAGCATTTGTAACTTGGGTACAAAGTTACCAATTACATTATTTGTTCATGTAGGATTACTGCCCAGAAATAAACTCAGGAGAATCAGAACTTAAGCTGCTAAGCATGCAGGTAAACGTGACCAACTCTGTAAGGTAATACGCTCACAACATTTATGTGCAGTTGACTGAGGGAGAACATGACCTCACTGCTTAATTCCAAACCAGGTTCTCATTAACTATACTCAAATGTACTTGGCTTTTAAGAAAACATGTATTTCTCTGTACTAAACAAAAACATTTACTAGGTATTTGGTCATATTAATTTTAAGTTTCTGGCAAGAATTATAGAACTTAAAATTATAGAAAGATTAACCATTTTCTCTCATAAATAATATTGTTTTATTAAGGTATATAATTAAAATCAGCGGGCTGCACGGCATTGGCAGCAGAGAGAAGAACTGTGTGCCACCAACTTGAAAAGAAAACGAATGAGCACAGGTTCCAGATTATCTACATCTAATTAAGAAATACACACAAAGTACAGTGCGAACCCCCAGTCAAACATCATGATCCCAGCAACAAATCCTAATGCCTGACTTGCAGCTACTGAAGCCTCAGCTTTTCTACAAGTAGTTCCTGTTATCTCTAGTAAGCTCCTCAAAACCCCAGAGTAGGTGGTGCCTTACACATACATCATTAAAACACGATGAGCCATCGTGCCTCTTACCGAATCACATAAGGATCATTAAAATTGAGGGAGAGTAATAAAAGAGGAACTCATTCCTCCACACTTACAGAAGAAATTACCTGCCTGATTTAAAAAATCAAAGATATTTTACCAAACAGGACATTTATGGTTAATTCAGCTGGAAATTACCCAACTAGAAATGAATCAAATCAAAGGTGGCTTTATTTTGCTTTCTTATTTCCTCAAAGTGGAATATTTCACCAAATTATTCTCAAGTTTCTTTGTAACTTTTTTACTCAAAAGTTAAAACTTGAAAAATCTAAATATATTTTCTGGAAAAAAAATACAACCCAAAGCATTAATGGTCTGTGAAACAACCACAGTTTCCAAGGTTTTGGTTTCAAATAGGTCTTTGTATTTCATTCTGCCCATGCTTTCAATGCTCTCAAGAGAGGTCAAGTGAAGAGCCCAGCCTCCTGCACACTCCGGTCTGTAGGCTGTAGGCTGTGGGTGTTCTCTTTGCAGATGGTATGTGAGAGCTCAGCAAAATGGAAAAAGCCTGTGCCACATCTGTCCATGGAAATTCATCTCGGGCTGCAGTCCGCAAAGATAATTCATTCGACTTTGAACCCAGTCCCACCAAAACCAAAAGCAATAAATAAAGATGACAGTTTAAAAATTCCAAGTCCAAAGTGTAGGACATAAACTTAGTCCCCTGTCACTAATAGACAAAAACTTGGTCTGATGGATATCAACATAGTATTATTCAAATGTGAGTTGTCAGAGCTCAATGTGAGGTGAGTGTGGACATTTTTAAGTGTACTAAGAGAAGCCACGATGGCTTGATATCGACAAATTGCATTCCTTCTACTATTCATTTGACTAGGCACTGACGGTCACAATATTCAGAACCCAGATTCACTAAGGCAACATTTAGAATCTTGTAACTTTGTCCTTTTACACATAGGTAAACCTGTTCCCTTCCTGTGTGCCTTACCCATACCACTGACCAGAAAAGAAATTTACAACCAGTATAATGTATTTACAGTGGCTTTTCTCACATGGTCCCCATGCACACTGAGTACTAATTACTAATTAAAAAACTCATGTTAATAAATTCTTTACTCATTGCTCATATAAATTATAACAAAGCATATTATTACTGTAATACCATCATTTTTCCTGTTGAATTCCATGTAACTTCTTTTATGAGATTAAAGGCTACCTAATTCTACATAATTTGGGGGAATTCATGACAGTGAGCTCCATACATGAATAGTGTCTAGCATATTCATAATTGAAAGAAAAAAGATTGGCAGCTAGTACTGAACCCATTCCACTACTGTGTAATCCTGTATCGAGAGCCACTGCATGTGCTTGAGCAAGAGGAAGGATGAGTTCATGAAGAAAGAACCCAAGGACACTGAAATTTGGACTCTGGTGAGGAAAGGTTATTTATTTCAGTGGAGCCAATTATAGTCACAGATTTTCTCTCCATTGCTCTGGTCCAAGGAGAATTCTTTTTTATTTTTCCTTTCTGGTGCTATACAAATTTTGCTTCAGTTTTTTGTAGGATATAAAATTCTGTGTGATATCTACCAGTAATTAACAGCTTTTCATCCAAGTAGGTAATATACAGGAGCGAATTTATTGTTTATGAGTGTATCAATATCATTTAAAAACTCTATGCTGGGAGAGAAAGGCAACCCTGAAGTATAAAATTGCTAATGCAGGCTGATAGCCTGGAAAATGGTTTCTTTTAATAGTCCCCTTCATTTAGCAGTTAGTTCTTCATTTGAAAATGTTCCCCTTCAACAGCAGATCTTGTGATTTGGTGCACTGGAGAGGAATTTATTCCTTTGACACATTTATACTTTTAATAGTTATTCCTTTGAAAAAGTTTCACTGCGTGCCTGTATATTTTCCAGTGTGCACAGAGACTGATTCTGGACAGATTGTTTTAATGTTTATTCACTTAAGTAGATTCTCACTCTGTGGCACTGTTGTTAAGATTTCTGTAACCCGGATCCTACTGGGAGTTCTGCACAAAATAGGCAGGTGTCAGCCCTGAGATGACAGAAAAGAGCCATACTACCAGTAAAGAGAAAAGAGGGTCATTTATTTTTTCTTGTTGTGCTGGGGGTACACTGTGCCATTTACAAAGTACTTGAATTCTCCCCGCCATCATTCTTCTTTATCCTCCTCTCCCCCACTCCTGGAATAGTTTAAACATGCCTTATTTTTCCATTTACATACATGAGTACACAGTATTTATACCATATTCACCCTCCTATACCTTTCCCCACCTGCTCCCTGCTCCTACTGCTACCAACTCCCCAGATAGGACCTGTTCTGCCATGCTGTTCTCTGATTTTGTAAAACAATAACAAAAAATGATATTTTTGTTTAAAATTCCTACACAAGGAGTTTCCTTATGACCTTTCCATGTATGTGTATATTATAACCTAAATTGGCTCATCTCCTCTATTTTTCTCCTTTCTGCCTTAGTTCCCTTCTTATAGTGATTTCAGCAGGTTTAAAAAATTCTTTATTCATTCTTGTATAGACAGTATGTCAACCATACTCACCTTGTTAACTTCCTTCTTTTACTGTCCAAAAGAGTCATTTAGTGATTGAGAGCTTCCTAACGACCAGCAAATACCTTAGGCTTTAGTGCTAATTACAATTTAGACATCACCCCAATAGAATCTACGAGATGACTAGTTTGGGGGATGCAGAACCTGACCATGAAAAATATACACGTTGAACAGTCCTGGAAACCTGAAAGCTTGGTATCTGACACAAATACTTTGTTTCTATATTTAATTTGACCATTCTAACTTCCAACAAGTGTTCGACTGATTTGTTTCTGGATTTTACCCAGAATAAACAGTTCATGAGATGTCCATTCTATAAGGAAATTGCTCACCTATTCTCTTCACCCTCCATCCATTTTTATCCACAGTTCCAAAGACGGCACCCACCAACGTAAGTGGAAGAAGTGGAAGGAGGCATGAGCTGGTTATTGCCTGGGAGGTAAGAACACCTGTAGACATCAGAACTGGCCACTTCCGTAGAAACCAAGGCTGCCCTGGTGCAGAGAGACAGGGTACACGTCTGTTTAAATGAAATTAAGAAACACTGAGCCTGCATTACTCAAGAATATCACCACAGGGAATCTGTCATCTTCATAGCAGGCTCCAGGTGGCTTTTGACACCAAGTGTAAAGTATTCTTTCCTGTCATGTAGGCTATCTCAGAATAAAGACTAAACAACTAAAATGTGTCCTCTCACAAATAATTTAGGTGTTTGGATTAGCTGGTGATAAAATGTTTTGGGGGTGATAGTGGCTTTGAACTCAGGAACTTGGGATTGTTAGGCAAGCGCTCTATCAGTTGAGCCTCTTATGCTTTAATTTACTTTTAAGGCAGGGTCTCACCCTTTCTGCTCAGAGCCATCCTAACATTGGGATCCTCCCACCTTCACATCCCACCCAGCTGGGATTCCTGGCGTGCCCCACCACGCCTGGCCCTTGATATTTAATTCTTTTATGATGAAGTAGTCACTTTGACTTCTTTAGAAAGCAAAATCATTAGGAAGGAAGGAATTAGCCACCACCATGTATATGGCACAATGTCTGGGTTTTCTCACTTAATCCGTCCGACAATCTTACTGTAAAGGGTGACTTTCCTTATTTTACAAATTGTAAAATTGAGACAGTTCAAATATTTTCTCCATTAGACAGAACTGGGACCTTGATTCCAAAATCTGTTCTTTTATTTACCTTGTCATATGACTTCCAGAGTATCTTTTGTCAAAGGAAAAGAGGGGGACAGAGAGGTTTAAGGAATACATTGATTTTCCATGAGTCCCCTTTCCTTTCTTGAGGTTCAGTAACATTTCATAAAATATTACAATGCACTCACAGACTGTGCTTTAGCATATACAGAAATGGAGATCTCTGCTGGAAAAAACGCAATGAATTCCTGACAGTCTCTAAAAGCAATGATAAGACAGAGTAAAGCATTGTCCCAGTGAAATCTTCCTTGAGCATCTGACCTGTTCTTCCCATTTCCCTTTTCTTCATAAAACTTTGCATATTAACTTCCCCTCATCTGACCTTCACTGAGCTCAAAGCCCTCTAAGTGGAATTGCCCTGCCCTATGAGCTTTGGCATAATGGGCTTTGTCTCCCTTCCTCCACTCAATAGTTCTTCTTCAAATCAAGTTTGAAAGGAAAAAAACAAACCTATGTCACAAATACCTATTGGGTATGTATGATGTTTGATGTTCCGGCACTGTGCTTGTCGGTGGCTGGTAACTGGGCTCCACTGATCCATCAAGCGTGTTCCTCCTTTCTATAAAATGTAGTTAAAGACCATATTACAACTTTAAATACAAGCCACATAGCACAACAAGTTTCTTGAAAAAGTTCCACAGTCTAGTTTCTTGGCATGTTGAAGAATGCTGGATGAAAGGTTTCGCTTTGGTCTCGGGGTTTGCTAGACACAGTGCTCTGTGGAGCACTCACAGTGACAAGATATGCACAGTCACCAGACCATGTGACAGTTCTCCCCAACCCCTTCAGCTCTGGTGTGGAATCCAAGGACCTTCATTTCATACACATGACTAATTGAAGCAAATTTGTTTCACTTCAAGAGTTTAATACTCTGTGAGTTTTCTTACATACCAATTAATGTAATTTAGCTTTTCATCTTTTACCTTTAAACCCTTTTCAGTTTCCAAAAACTGCCACCAAAGTCATTGGGCTATCTTGGCTTCCAATGTAGTATGAAGATTTGAAATTTTTCTCTAGTTATCCATTTTTAAAGAAATTAAGGATTAAAGGAAGTGGGGTTTTTTGTAAACTGTCATTTTGCTGATAATCATGTGTGTGTGTGTTTTTTTTTCCTTCTTTAGCCAGTGTCTGAAGAATTTCAGAATGGGGAAGGCTTTGGCTATATTGTGGCTTTCAGACCCAATGGGACTCGTGGCTGGAAGGAAAAAATGGTGACCTCCTCTGAAGCTTCCAAATTCATTTATCGAGATGAAAGTGTCCCTCCTCTTACTCCTTTCGAAGTGAAGGTTGGCGTTTACAACAACAAAGGAGACGGACCTTTCAGTCAAATCGTGGTCATCTGCTCAGCAGAAGGTGGTCAGTGTCTTCATCCCTGCTGCTGTATGCAGCATTTCAGTACTTACCGTGATAGTTCAGTGAGACCCTCCGTGCATGTATCAGAATATACCAGCAAGCCAAAAGAAAAAAACTCACTCACAATCCCGTTACACTTTTTAGATATATTTCCCAAACTTAAGGAAGACAGTCAATCCATGTATGTCCCCTTGCATCTTCACTCCCTGAGACACATGGCAAACATGTTTCAGTCATCCCTGCAGTGTATTTTTAATTTTTTTCTTTGGCAATTCTGGGGACTGAACTCAGGGTTTTATGTTTGGTAGGCAGGTGCTCAATTAATTCAGCCATATACGTTATTTGTTGATTTTTTTATTTATTATTGCTGTAGTTATTTTTCAAATAGACTCCCCCTAACTTTGTAGGGCTGGCCTCAGGCCATCATCCTCCTATCTCCACCTCCCAAGTAGCTGCGATTACATCTTTGGTTTGAAATATATATTATTTTATATTTTAACTATAGATATGTGAGATAATTCTAAATGAAGACACCATTTATATGGCCAATGAATATTTCTTTCTAACTTCATGTGCAAATCATTGTACTGGTAAGGAAGTATCCAATGGGCCTTTCTCTTAGGAGCTTTCCAATTTGTCATTGAATCCTCCTGACAATTGTGTTTGATAGGCATCAGGGAGAAAGAGAAGTTGAAGTTCAGAGAAGTCAAGGAGCTTGGGCAGTGTTACACAGCTTGTAACTGAGAAAAAAACCCTCGAATTTTCTATAGCATGCTGCTTTCATATGCATGAGCTAATTTACTCTTAAGGTACAGCTAGTAGGTGGGCACAACCCATTTCACAGATGGGGAAACTAAAACTGTGACTCATATGGTTACAGCCATGGGTATTAGAGCTGAAGTTCAAAGCCAGCTTACATGGGGTTTTAGTGCAGGCATACAGTTTTGTGAGTGAGAGAAAGCATGACAGATGTACACCTCTATAAAGTGAGCTTTTCCTCTTTGTCCAACTCTTCATGTGCAGAATTTATATTAGTCCTTCAAGATAAAAAAATTGCCTTATATTCCCTAAATTTACAAATGACTGAAAAAAATGTTCCACCAAAGGCAGCCTTCAATTGACCTTCTAAACAAGCATGGTCAACATAAACTAACCTTCATGTTTCCTTCATCCCCACATGTATGACTTGAATACTTCAAAAGAATTGTTTTTGGTGCTGTGAGCTTCATGGCAAGGCCATTCGAACATAGGAGAACAAAGGTGGTATTTGATGTATGTAACATGCTGTTTTTCATAAAAGTTGATTTGTACTTCTGTTATAAGGAACTACATTTTGAAGTGAAAGCAGAAAGTAGTAGAAGGTCAACTAGGAACATGAAGCATCAAGTAATAAAAAGGAATCCTAGATATTTTTCCACTGTAGTAATCTAAATGTATCACATGTTTCTTATTTTTTTGGTTTGTTCTGATTTTGAGTCTAGTTTAATATAACATTTATATTATCTTATATGGGCAGAACCTTCTAGTTCTTATGTGTGCCTTTATATATGTTCTGTAGTCTTCTTATTGAGTTGATAATATACTCTTCTGTTCTTATTCACACCTTAGTTATTATGTTTGTATTTATTTGATGTTCTGGTAATTATGTTAATATATATGTATTTTGCTCTTTTTTATTCTTTTTTGGTGTATGACTTGTTGTTTTGTTTGTGAGCGTTGAGTGTTGTTTTTTTGGTTCCTATTTTCTTTTTTTTTTTTTTTTTTTTTTTTTTTTTTTTTTTTTTTTTTCGATTTGGTTTCTTTGATTGAATTTGTTGATTTTTTCTTTGTATTTTTTTTTTTTTTCGTCTGTTATTTTATTTTTTTTTTTTCTGTGGGCCTTTTCGGTTCCTTTAGTTTTTGTTATGGTTTTTGTGATGTTTGATTCCATAGATAGGTTACTATTTTGGTTTTTGTGCGGAGAGTGGTGTTATGTTTTCTATGTTTTTTTTGTTTTTTTGTTTTTTTTTTTTTCACTTTTCCTATTTTTTTAAATTTTTTGGATGTCTTTGGTTGTGGTGTGTATGTAACATTATTTATTTGTGTTGTGCAGGGCAGTGAAGGAATAGCCGGGGGGGGAAAAAGGCGGCAACCGAAGGAGCAACACATGGAGGTGGCAAAGGACGACAGTGAGGGGGAGAAGGTGGGGGAGCGTGGGTCCGAGGGGAACATCCAAGGCGCGGACGGGGAAAACAGCCAAGCCAGGGTGAAAGGGTCGGGGTCAACTGGTGAAAGGGGGCTGCCTTGTGAAAGTAAAGTGATAGTCGCCACCATGAGGATGCTTGTTATACTCGTGTTCCCCGTAAAACTTGAAATGCTTGGCTCTGGAGTTCCTCCTTTTCAAGCTAAAAGGAAATATGCATATTTCCTTTCAAAGACACCAAGTTTGATGCTATGACATATTTCATAGTAACACTTCATTTATTTTGTCAACTAAAATATGGAAGATACCAGGCAAATTAGGTCTGGATAGAGTCTGCCTTTTTTCTGACAACAAAATTCTAACATATTTGCCATTTCTCACTAATTAAATTTATAATTTTGGGCACGATGCTAGTTAGATGAAGTTACAGTGGTTTGTTTATTAAGTTGTCTCAACCAAAAAAAGGCAGGACAAAGGAAAAGAGGAGCTATTTCCTTGAGTCGGCAGGGCCTGAGTTCCAATCTCACCACACTACGTGATTTGGGGAAGTTGATTCATCTCGGAGCCTGACCTTCATGTACTTTAATGATAGAGGCTTTGAAATTGAATTCTAGAAGCCCTCACAAATCTAAGCTGAAAATTCTTAAGAATTTGTTCTAGATTCTAAAATATTCTTTTAAACAATTGTCTCAAATGGGCAAGACTAAAATAACTTTTGCCTCATAATAAAAAGAGCACATCATCATCCCTTTTTAGACACTTGGAAAATTGCTTTACTTGCAAAGGAATAACAATGTAAAGGATTCTACTACTCTTTATTGCAGTCAAGACCTGCAACGAGCCCATCAAACATACTTGCCAGTATCACAGAGGTCCTTGACCCAAAAGGACTCAGGGAAGGAATGAACAGACGAGACACACGGAAGGACTCAGGAAGGAAGGGAATGACGAGACACATGACCAGAAGGCTGGTGACCAACTGGCAAATTTTTATTTTTCTCAGCAAGCTTTACACAAAAGAGGAAGAGACGTAAACATCAAAAACACTCTGACCCAGCGACAACCTTTCTGTTTTGGCATTCTTACTACCAGTGTCCTTGACTAAGTATAAACTTTTTTCAGTCAAGGGAAACCACTTAGCGTTCCTTCCCACTATGATAGAGACATGGTGCACCTGCAGATTCCAACCTTGTCAGAATGCTGCTAAGCCACAGTGACCTTGTCAGACTGTGGCTTTTGGTTCCCCACCATACTGTCACTGTACTCATGCCACTGTAGGTTCCTCTCCTGCATTCATGACTGCCCACATAGATTCAGGGGACTTTAATCACCACACTTTCTCCCCAAGCCCAGCAGACTTGATTCAAATTCTGTTTCAGTATAAGATAACTCTACTTTTTGTGGGGTGATGGCGGGGTATGAACTCAGGCTAGGGCTTCAAGCTTGCAAGACAGTTACTCCCCGGTCCTTTTTGCTTTTGTTTACTTTTGAGATAAGGTCTTGCTTTATTCCTGGGCTGGTCTGCACACAGGAAGCACCTCTTATTTGTGCTTCCCAGTGTAGCAGGGGTGATAGGCATGTACCACAATGTCCAGACTGATTAAGATGGGGTCAAACCACAATTTTCCCAATCTCAGTCTCCAGAGTACCTAGGATAACAGCCTTGAGCCATGGTGCCTGACCTAATACTGCTTCTTTAGTCTTCCATTAAGCCACTCTACCTGTTGGTCACCACCAAATTGCTCATGTCCTTTAGTAAAGAACTAAAAGAGACTGCCTTTTCATTTCCATTCTCAGGCTTAGTTCTTCTTCACATCACAAATGCTAGCTACATGCCCAGAACACCATGAAGCCACCACCTTTTCACAGGTGACACCAGCTGGGAGAAAACTGCTAAATGCAACCACCCGAATTTGTCATCTGAGGCTCAGAACAGAAAGACTTGCAAAGCATACCTTACAGCTACTCCTCTTTCCCACTGGATCATCAGTGGTGGATGACAGTCACATCCATAATATCGTTCTGCAAGTCCTTATGTGCATTCCCTTTGTCTTTTTGTTTTCTTCTCAGGAAAGCCTATTGGGATGCAAGTGAGAATTACATTGCTAAAAGGAAAGCCTTGAGTCAATTGGTTGTTAAAAGTGACCATCAAGCTGGGCACAGTGGTACACAAGTGTAATCCCAGCCACTCAGGAGGCAGAGGCAGGAGAATCTAGAGTACAAGGTCAGCCCCAGCAAAGTTAGAAACCCTGTCTCCCAAAGCAAAATAAAAACAAAAGGGCTGGGGACATGGCTCGAGTGGTAGAGTGTTGCCTAGCAAGCACATGACCCCGGGTTCAATTCATGCACACACATGAATTGTCATTTATCACTGTTGTTATTTTTGCTAAATTACTTGAGATATGACTTGACACATAACTGAGGTTGGCTCTTGCCTTAGAACAGTACCAGGAAGGTTCCAAATGGTTCCTTTGCGAACACCCAGAGCCCTTGAATTCTTTCAATATTTCTACAAAAGAAGTAGCCCTTACAGGCTCTGTTAGTGTCAAGCAGCATCTGATGTGAGCCTGGAAGGACAGGAATTTGCCTGACAGGATTTGCATCTACCACACATCTTTGAACTAAACAAGAATGATGAGTTTCTAACCCCGAATCACAACAGACATCTCAGCTGTGGTCAGCTCTTATTCAGTAGCCACACTTTGGAAGCAATTCCATTTAAAAAAAATAGCAAAGTTCCAACATAAGTGATTTAATTTGGGGGGTGGTCCTGAGGTTTGAACTCAGGGCCCCCCATTTGCTAGGCAGATGCTCTAACACTTGAGCCACTCCATTCTGCCAGCCTGTTTTTGTGTTGAATATTTCTGAGGCAGGGGCTTGCTTTTTTTGCCAGGGTTGCCCTTGAACTGCTCTGTACCTTTTGAGTAGCTAGGATTAAAGAGATAAGCCACTGGCACCCAAGACAACACAAGTGATTGTAAATTGGTAAAGCTGAGCGCAATGGAACACATCTGCAATCCCAGCACTAGGGAGACTGAAACAGGAGGATAGCAAGTTGGAGGTTAGCTTTTACCACATAGTAAGACTACAGTCTCAAAAAAAAAATCATGGTAAAAACTGGGGTTCTTTTTTCAAGATAAAGAATTGAATAATTGATTCACACTCACTTTTACATTTCTAGAAATACTTCTAGTCCAACTTATATCCATTTCCACTTGGTTCTTATTATTCCAACTTTAGATGAGAACCAAAGCATTCAATTACACCTAATAGAAAAACAGTAATTCAGTTGTATTAATTATAGGCTGAAAGATTTAATCATTTGTGATGTGCCTTACCCTTGTCTACTTTTAGGGGATTGCATTCTATAGATAAAGCGTGCTGCTCTTATTTTTATTAAACCCCCAACCTCTCCTCATCTGAGGGGAATGACATGCAATTATCCCCTGCAAATGAGGCTGCCACTGCCCAAATTAAAACCCAGCATTCACAAGGCCTCATTCCCCAGGATCAGTTCTTAGCTAACACTGAGCTCAGTGGGATTTATGTGAGCTTGGAAATTAATAAATTGGCATATTAGTTATAAAATACAAGGAATAATTTCCTGTCTTTGCCAGGTGATCTATTTGGATTAGTGCCTATAAAAGTTCAACTGCAGCTGTCTTGGCTGGGTTTTTAAATAATGAAATCATAACCCTTCTCCCAAGGAGTTTATTAAACTCTCCTTTGACTGATGCTGTTGCTCTCCGCTCGGGGAAGTCACACGTACAATCAATGTGCTAGGCTTGTCCTCGTGCCCCATGTTACCTGCAGAACTTCAGCTGCTAGGTCACTTAATACAAATGGATCTGCTAATTCAGGAACTTGGTAATGCTGCTCAAAAATGTAATCTAACAGGTCCTGAAATCTTTCAATCAGGCTGTCCAGGACTGGAGTAAAGGAGTTAGATGACCTCCTTCGTATCATCCTAAGTAAAAGAAAGGTCCTTGTAAGAATTTGAATCTGCAAGGCTAGTATGATCTCAGAAATAAGATCCTGAACTTTCGTCAAATAACCTGAGTGTAAAAGACAGGAGTGGCAGAAAACATCGTGTGATTTAAAGGTCAAGAGATTTGCGGAATGCTCAGCTATGACATGGCTTCTGAGGGACGGTGCCACTGTGATTAAAAATCACCACTGGTCCACAAGTGAAGAATCCAGGGAGTTATTAGTGAGCCCATGGCAGCGTTCGATTGGTGGTGGGGTCTACGTGTTTTCTGGGGAGACCTGGGACTAGAGACCTCATGTAGGGAGTCAGGAGGCAAAGTGGGGGAAGAGAGCAAACTCCAGGGAACAGCATCTGTGCATATAATGTAGACATATGCCCAGCGCAGGAAGCAAGGTGTTTGGGGCCTCATTGCCTGGGTTCAAATCCTCCCTCCACCATCTAGCACCCCTGTGGTCTTAGATTGCTTAGCTCCTCAGTGTCATTTGATAGATCACGGTGTTCTCGGGAGGCTTAGCACATGTGGAAGGCTTGGAGCACAGCAGACCCTCAAAAATGGTAGTTATGACTTTGAGTTCTTCCCCTTAGCCAGTTTGGTGGTTTTTCATCATTTTCCCTGATTGTCTGCTGGTTACGTGGACGAAATTGAAGAGTGTAAGAATGAGCAGCACGTTTCCTGTGAAATCTCTCCTGGACCTCAAAACTGACTCTAAAGGGACTGAGTACCACTCAGCTGTTTCTTTGGCACCAAGTTTAGAAACAGAGGGAGGAATATTTGAGACCTGAGTTCTAATATGGCCATTTCAGAGCAAGCAGCAGAGATCATAACTCAAAGGCTTACAGGGGTCCCTTGAGAACTGTGGACAAGGGACATCCTCCACGTGAGATGATAGGCAAATGGAGAAGAGCTTCAGCTGCTGGATCACTTAGTACAGATGGACCTTCTAACTTCGTGAACTTGATAGTTCTCCTCACAAATTTTAATCTAACAGATCCTGAGTGCATGCCATGAGTGATAGAGCCAGTCCCATCTGCCAACACTCAAGAAGCCAGGCTTGGTTTCTTTCTCTTCTTTCCCCAGAAAAAGTCAGAAACTCTTGTTTGTATATGAAACATTAGAACTTAAAAGTTGGTGTGTAGAGATTTTCTTGGACACAATATGTAAACAAATAAA